CGCTATATGTATGTACTTACCGCACATGTTATCAAGATTGCTCGCCTGCCACGTATGTAGAGACACGAGCAGAAGGCAAACGGAAAAAACGGAGAAACAGAGGGTAAAAAATTGATAAAGAAGTTGGAGCGGACTGTCACTCTTGCTAGATATATTCGTGATACGTGCGATACGCACTGCTCCGAAACACAATCTGAACCGTCCGACAGCGTGTTCTCGGTTCTTATGATGTCTTATGACGTATGAACGGCAATCGCGTGCGCGCGCGAGCGTGAATATGCACGTGTGAAAGCAGCAACCAGCAATGAGCTGTCAACGTCAGCGGTCGCGCGCACAAACGCACGTGTGTAGTTGTATACACGTTGTATGATGTAGCTGCGAGAGTGCGAGCTGCGAGACTCTGCAAACCGTCGCGTCTGCGCGGCGCGGCGCGGTGCGACCAAGCCGACCGAGCCGCCCTGCTTATCGATCGGCTCGCCAATCAATTTACCGATCACGGGCACAAGTAATCACACGAGGCGCTATATAGTATAAAATATTATTCGTCTTCCTCTCACTCGATTAACCGTTCGCAGCCGATGATTGCGATATGCGTGCTGCGATAGTGACGAGCAAAGATCGAACATTTATTCGCTTCGGTTGAATCCGCTGAAATTCGGTTATTACCGTGTTGCATCTGTTTAATGCGATGCAGAGCACGCTACTTGACGGAGATGGCTTGGTTGGTCGGTAAAGCAGATTACAAATTCAATTCCGCCATGGATATAATATTGCCTGAGAGAACTATGGTACCCTTTTTCCTGTTATCGTCGAAATCGCCCGAACATTCATTTTTAGTTTTGGAAACTACGTGACTACATACATTTTCTGACACTGTCGATAAAATCGTATCGCCGAAAATAGATGTAGTTCGTTTCTGTACTAAATCCTCCAGGATAGAAGCGTGCCGATCATCTATAGGAGGGATAGATTAATGAGTCATTGAACGAAAAAATTTTTATTTCGCATCTGCTACAAATAAAGCATCTGCTATAAATAAAAGCAATTGAATTTTAATAAACGAAACTGAAAATTTAAACAAGTTATAATTTAGTAAATTTTGTCTTATATATAATATTTATCTTGTAATATCTTATAAAATTACGAAGTTTTGTATCTTTATGCAAATTTTCAGCCCGTATTTACCAAATATAATTACTAGTATAATTACTAGTATCTATAATTACTAGCAATTATAAAGACTTTAAATAAATTCAATCTTTTCTAAACATATATTGTCATTTAAGGTATAATTTAACAAAAACGAGCTATAGAGGTCCTCCATCACCCCTCAATTCTATCGACAGTCCTCTTTTCTTTGTAAGTATATTCACCCATAAAACAAACTACTAATAAATTTAGTAGCCTGTGTTTGCAGGTAAATATATCTTTAATTTATTTTTTATTTTTATGTCTAATTATTTTATTGTATTTCGCTAATGAAATTGCAACTTTTTAAATATTATTAACTTTTTAAATATTATTTTTTATTATATTATCCTTTATAGAATTCGATTTACAATTATAATAATTATTTACAATACAATATACAATTATCAATGCTGTTCACAATATAATAAAAATGATAATATAGGAGCATAATAATTAACAAATTTTTGTAATGCGAAATTATATGAAAACGTCGAAAATATACGTACGATAACACAAATTTTTCTAAACAATGTTTAATTAAATATTAATAAACGCAAAAGAAGTATTAACAACAAGATCGTATTTATTATTAATTATTAATTTGCCAATATAAAACTTAATAATATCTCGATAAAAAATCATTAATATATTATAAGTCATTATTATAACAGCATTTTCATCGCGTTCAAGATAACTCAATCTCAATAATTTCATTATATCAAAATCGCTCTTCTTTGTGGTATGCTGAATTAGTATCCCTGATACAAAGAAGAACAATCTTCATAGTGAAGAGTGAACTTAATGTATTCTGATTCTACGTAAATTTCACAAGATCCATTTGCAAAGAAAAATTAAGCAATCCATCAAATACCAGTGATCTTGTTACAGGATTGCGGTGTGAATCCTTCTGAATCTTTCTAATTACTTAGAGATAGTAATTATTTTGACAGCATGTCAATTACAATTACCATTTTTTATCACACCTTTAATAAAATATTAAAATTCGCGAGAAAATATGTTCTGTCACACGTGACTAAAAATTATCTCTTTATTAAAAATAAACGGATAGAACAGATTTCCTTATACAAGTTACGAAGGAATATATTTAATAATAAGAAAATACATGCGTTTTTGTAATTTTTTATATATGTATGGGTACAAAAGTTTCTCGGATACCAACTGTTCGAGATGAGCCGAACCTGTAATATTTTAAATCCCTTAACGGAATTTTAAAGAACATTTATAAAAAATTTATTATATAAAATTTAACAATTCTTTATTTTTCAAAAATTATAATTATTTATAATATTAACATCCTACTAATATGAGGGTACCCATTCGACTTATCTTGAATTTTTTGTATCCACACATTTAAAATTCAACTCATATAATCACGATAACATTGTTAACTATAAAGAATTTTGAAAAAAAATTATGTAAATATCGATAATCAATATTCGTTAAATAAAACCTAAATATGTAGTTATTTAAAATAATAAATACCAAATAACTCTTTTAATTTTTTTATTTAAAATATATTAATTTTAATTTTCATCGCTTTTACAAGTATATAAAAATTATTAAACAATTTTTACGTATATTTTGACATCTTTAGAAAGTTGTATATTTGTAACAAATTGTACATAAATTGTTACAACTAAATGTAGTTAACAAAATGAGAAAAATGTACTCGTGCAAAAATATAAAACTCTGAAACAAAAATATTTAAAAGAAAAATATGTTTCAATATCTTAAAGTTGGCATTCAAAACTACAAAAGAAAAAATCATTCAAGTGTTGATTCGTTCAAATTTTGTCAACTTTAAGATATTAAAATATAATTTTCCTTTAAATATTTTTTAACAATTTTATCGATAGTGTCAGAAAATGTATGTAGTCACGTAGTTCCGAAACTAAAAATGAATGTACTGGTAGTAGTGCATAAGCGATTTCGACGGTAACAGGAAAAAGATCGGCATGGCTTCTCTCAGGTTTTTCTCTGATACTGCTATATACTACATGCAGGGAATGGAAAGTTACTTTTTAAAAATAACAAGTTACAATTACTAGTTACCAATTTTTAAAAGTAACTCGTTACAACTCGTTACCGTTACTTGAGAAAGTAATTTTTCGTTACTTTTCCGTTACTTTTCTAAAATCGACGATCACCAATCACAGTAGAAGACTTTCTAGTCTCAAGCGCTATAAGTGGCTTGTTCAATCGTACCGTATCCAATCGTGTGCAAAATAACGATAAAAGTAACTGTAAAATTCATTACCATTACCATTACAGTTACCAAAGGAAAAAAGTAACGCAGTAAAGTTACCAAAAAAGTAACTTGTAATTGTACAAATAACGAATTTATTATTTCCATTCCCTAACTGCATGCACATGAATAAATTTCCAACCGTAAGTAATTGAGATGGATTCGATAACATAATGTTTTTCGTGACACCGTTTTCGAAAAATCGTCGATATTGAGAAAATTTTTTACTTATCAATTACAATTTAATTACTCATATATCCCCCTTCGAATCAAACAAGAGCTTCTGTGGTATTTTCTCGTATCATCTAAAACAATGGAGATATTTTAAATGATCAAGTTGGAGAAAACACACACCTTATACAATAAAGTTATTAGAAACTAATAATCGCTTATTGCAATACAATTGAAATCATCATAATTGTAAGATATAATTGTGTATATGCGTAAAGAATCTAAGAAATTTAATAACTTAATTTTATATTACGTGAAGAAAAGTATAATCTAATTAATATTTCGCGTAAATCGAAACAAATTTCATATATCGATTTTTTGAAAACTTTCCTGTCTAGCAATACCCATTATTTAATGTGATACTGTAATTACATCGAAGAAATTTCAAATAAATATTTTATATAATTTCCAATATTTTTTATTAACTAATGTGCTGACAAAAGACGATAGGTAAAAAGTGGTTTTTTTTTTTTTACGTAATTGCTCGTGTGAAATATGTTTCTGACATCCTAACATTATATATCGATTTTTATTGCTTTCTTTAATAATTTATAATTAATTAAAGATCGATAATATATTATACATTCTTAAATATAAAGATAAATGCAAACATTTTTTTTAAACTCTGAAACAATTTCTTTATATGATGTTATCAAAATAATTGATAGCAGTGCTATAAAAATTTTTGTATCAATATAATTACGTCTAATTTTATCGATACAATTATCCTTCTATTGAAAGTTCTTATATCAAAGAAAAATTTTTGGTTTTGTCTCATTTATTTTTATTAGAAATGAGGTTGAGAATTCACGAAATATCGATGATTTATGATTTCTGGATTAAACAGATGCAGTGTTATATTTTACTTATGACATTCCAGATGTGAATTTTAAGCTGTACGTCAGACAGATGTTTCAGATTATATATATGATTATATATACTCACATGTACGGTCTAAAATAAGATTCTTATAATTACATATCTTTTCATAAAAAATTTATAATAAATAACGTAATGTTTTGCGAAATGTATTTTTTACAAAAGGTTTTTCTCGAAAACACATAATTATATATATATATATACCAACAAGTAATTCTTGTTTTACATTTGTTTTTTTATTCATGTCATATTCTACAAAAAAAGAAAGAGAGAACTGTCCTTCAAAGATAATTATAAAATCTCGAAACATATGATATCATGAAACTTTACTTACATTAACTTATCTAAATCTATTGAACTAATCTGCTATCGAAACGTAATTACGAAACTGTTTTAATCAAATCAACAATGCCTTGACGATTTTTCTTGCATGATTAATTTCATAATGAAAATACAAATTGTATTTATAATTAAAGATAAATGTTCCTTCTACACATTATTGAGGCATCTAGTAGCGGTTGATCTAACGACTTCTAAACGCGCGGTCGAGAAAGTCTTATTCAGACAATCAGTAGTCTGCTGATTGACACTTTTAGACGCACTTTTAGCAGTAAATCTAGCAGAACTGGCATCCCTCTTTAAATTTTTCACGCCAATCTTACTTATTTCATACTGATCGGTGATACAACTATGCAATTTTATAATGTCGATAAGTCGCGAATATTTTTTGTAGCAGTCTGGAAAGATGTTGTCCAAGTCATCTATTAGCTCGTGTCCGGTCTGTAAAAAAGATCAACACGAGTTTAATGAATAATCACTCAATGGAAAGTATAGATGGTATGCGCGATTGCGAGAACCTACTGTGATAAGCTGATCGTTGAAACTAAGGTTATTGTTGATAGAACATATGGCCTTTTCTCGGCATTGTTGAGCATCGATATATGTTGTATTGTAACTATTCTTAAGAATATTAAGAGCGGCATCATAGCATGGTTCAGCATTCCTACCTCTCGTCTTGGCATCTTCTACCTCTTTCTAACAATAAAAAAGACAATAACAATTAAGCTAAAATGCGTTACATTTTTATTTATATCACTTTATCAAATGTTGTGTTTTGCCATTTTATCAAGAGTGTCGCGAAAACTGATAAATATAGATTGTGATTGATAGATTCGAAATGTTGTTTAATTGTTTAGTAAAGTCATATAACTTTCAATTTAAGCGTGCTTCTGATTTATGAAAAACTAATTAATAGTTTCTAATGTTTTCAATACAACTGCAGCATGTATAAAAAAATTTATTTGGTACAGATATCTACATGCACATACTTTATACATTTTTGAAAATCTGTCAAACTCATACTGCTTGATTATAAACCAACGAATAACTTACTCGTATCGTATTGAGTACTGAATTGGCATAGTTATTGTACTTTTCCGATGATCGCAACCATTCCTTCCCGACTGCCAGTTCTACGTCTTTCTGAGTGTTTTCACGGATATGTTTGAGTTGTCGTATGGTACTTTCCACGTCTATTTTCGTATTCTGCACTCGACGAAATGAAATGTCCAAAATAGTTGCATCGGCCTAAGATAAAAAATAATAATAATATTAAGGAATGTTTTGTTTTAAATAAATATATTCTTTGTTCTTATTCAATTAATACATATAAATTTAATTAAAATGATTTATTATATCGATAAAGGAAATTTATATCAAAATTTATAATAAAATTAATTTTTTTCTTTGGCAGACATTGATTTTAACAATCTTCTTTTTTACAACATAATCTTAATATAATCTTAAACTTTAAATTAATATTCTGCGGAAACAAGATAATAAATATTTATTATAAATTATACTTTTCAAAGGAGAAAATAGACTCACGGTACAGCAAAATACAGCCAAAAAGCATAATGCTATGGCACTTCTCATTCTTGCTTGTTAATTTCACTCGAGAATTTTTCAATTGCCAGAAGTAAACTAACCGACAATTGATGTTAATTTTACTCTTTTATATATTTTGACGTTATAATAAAACATAGGATCTTAATGGAGTATCATTATCTTAATGGAATATTATAATACTACTTTTACTTCGACAAGTTACTAGATTTTATCCGAGAGATAAAACGGAGTATATAATCCACATAACGATAAGACACGAGTTATTGTAAACAATTTTGAGAACTTATTATGAAATATCAATTATAAGGAAATGCGAATAAGGAAAAGTATCGCGATAAATAACATTTATTAATAATTTTTTAATTATTTTTATTTCTCTTAAGTATATTATACGCATATACATACATAAAAAATATATATTAAAATATCTTTAAAAATATATAGTATAAAGCATACCATTAATATATGTAATACAAATTATTGCTTCGATACACGCATAATCGATACATAGAGCATATCTTTGTCAAATTGATTGTATTGATTTTTCAAGATACATTGTTTTCTCTTTAGTATAATTTTGAATGTAAACTGTAATCGACAAATGCACTAGACTGTTTTAAGCGATTAAACTCTTAAGTTTTTATTCACGACGTTTCGAACGCATCTAGAATTAGACATCATTGCGCCCTGACTTTCGAAGCGCGCTAACATGTAAGCGTTATTCAGACATTGAGTGGCCTGCAGAATGACATAGTTGGACGTTGGCAATGCGTTATACTCGATGTATTTGGCGTTCTGCTCAAACTCCTTCACGGAGTTATTGATTTTTCCGAACTCGCTAAGGAAGCAATTTTGCATTTTAGTAGTATCGTCATCATAGCAGTTCAGGAAGATATCATTCAATTCTTTTATCAGCTCGTATCCAAGCTACCGAGAAAATTGACACGATTAAATTCAATTCATAGTAATTACATTCAGGTCGCAAAAAAAAAAATGATAATTTGATAATATAAAATAATAACAATGAGAACTTACCGACTTGAGATTATCGAGAAATCCAAGGCTGTTTTCAATAGACTTTTCAGCAGATTCTTGACATTTTGTAGCAGATTGATATGCTATGTTGCCATGCTCGTTTATGGCCCAGAAGTTAGTATCGTAACAGAATTGTGCATCTACACCTCTAATTTTAGCATTATTTATTTCTCTCTAAAGTGCATTTTAAAAAAAAGTTAATGATTTGTAATAATCATTCGATAGATTTGCAAATTTTGTGATAAATTTCGCTCAATTTTGAATTATGAAAACGAAGATATCGTTATTCTGTTTTAAAAAAAAATGATTGGCTCTAACATTATATATATCCCAAGTAACCATTACTAACAGTAACATAATATCAATGTATAATAATTTCACAATAATAATTCAATAATTACTGTTACATATAATTATTGTTATACGTACAATTATTATTGTTATATTTAAATATTGTTGAGTGTAAAATTATAATATTAATTTGTTATATTACTATTGATTACTTACTGGGTCATTTTTAGTGACACAATATAATATTTTGCAACATAATATTTTCACAGTATATTATTAAAACTTAAATACAGTATATTATTAAAACTTAAAAAAATATTTATATTCGATATATCTGTAACAACTATAGTTAATAACGATTACGGACAAAATAAGCGTAATAAGCAAATGATCATTTCGATTGCAAATTGATTCGAATTATTACTCACGCGCATCGAATTGAACAATAGATTAACGTAATCTCTGTAATTATTTATTTGTTGATTCCATCTTTTCGTAACTGTTAATAAAGCATCCTCTGTAGTGTCAGCCTGGACACGTTCAATTCGTTGTACAATATGTTCCACATTCAATTTTGCATTTTTTATTTTTATAAAATATTCATCTTCCAAATAGTCAAAGTTTATTGGAATGGCAGCATAAACCTAAGTATGAAAAATGAATGCTATACTTATATTCACGGCATTTAAAAAAAGTGTTACTTTGAGCAATCATATATTCTTGCAATCTCGCCGATTTAGATTAATTTAAGTCAGTGAATATTAATTAGTCAATGAAAATATAAGATAATAAAAACGTAACTTTAATCGATTAAAGAAGAAAATTAATTTCATTAAAAATGATGTTACATATTAATTAAACGGTTATCTATTATATACAAACTTTCATTTCGGCTATCTTTTTTACAATCTTTTCTCGCAAAGAAAAGATAAAACTTACCGTACTTACGATACAAAATGTAGCCAAAATGCACAATGCTATAGCGATTCTCATGCTTGCTTTCACTTGGGAGTGACTCTGTTGATACGCGAATTCGAATAACTGATAAGTATTACATTAATTGCGCCTTTTTATACATATATATAAAGTATGATAAAAAAAAAAACATTTGGACAAACTTTGAGAGATGGTAGGGAAAGAGGGGAGAATTAACAAGATAAGCCTTAATTATCAATGTTGAAGAATGTCTGATCTTGAAGATCTCTTGAAGATATCAAGTAAAAAAATATGCAGATCTTTGTTATTCACGCTTTTCTTAAATACAGTAGCCTTGTCTGAACTTTTGGAAGTTCTTCTAATATAATTATAGAGTTTACTTGAATATTACATAATATTTCTTCTTTAATTCTAAAGATAATATTTTAATAAAGGATTGCCGAGTCAACGTGAGAGAATGCTATTTACTATTACTTCGATATAAATCGAATAATAAATTAAATAATCAGATTTCGTAAAACTGACAGCGCGTATTAAAATTCATTTGTATAAAGATAAGATGTAGCTTATCGCATTTAATTTTAGAATCTTACACGAAACGTACGCCCAATGAAAAGGTCTATTACAAGCATATAAGGAATTGCGTGAGAAAATTCTCTTTTGGAGATATTTTTATTTCATTCATATATATTACATATGTGGAGTTATACATTCTAATTCTCGTGATGTTCTTTTCTCTCGAAATCTTATCTTAATCTTGAATCTTTTTAAGAATTACTTTCAACAAAAAAAAAGAACATCAAAAGTTTAGTTTTTTTAAATTTAAAATTAATCTTTTGAGATAGACTTCTGTACCGTCGTAGTTTTCGTAGTTGTCGAAGCTACTGTCGTAGTTGTCGTCGTAGCTGACGTAATTGTTTCAATACATTGAGTAACTCTCATTCTAATCGCCGCCCCCTCCGTATACGTAAGAGAATAAGCCTGTTTGATACAGTTGCTGGCTTGAGTAATGACATTCTTGGACACGGGTACAATGGTCATCTCTGCAGTAATGCTGTCGCTCTCCAAGGACTTCAGGGAGCTTTCTACTTTCGTCAGTTCATTGAAAATGCAGCTACGCATTCTGTAATCGTCGCTGTTGTGACAATTCAAGAAGATGCTATCCGATTGCAACGACAATGAGTCTGCGGTCTGGGGAAAAATTAACAATTCGAATTTTATTAGAATTTCATTAATTCTAATAAGATAAACTGATCGCGATCTATAATATGTAATTATCGCGATAAACTTACTGAAATGAGATTAGCGATTAAACCAAGGTTGTTATGAATGGAAATTTCAGCGGAGCCTCCGCATTCATTAGCCTCCTTATATGCTATCTGCTCATTTTTTTCGATACCTTGGATAGCCTCGGTGTAGCATAAAGTCACGTCTTTGCCTGCCGTCTTAGCGATATTTATTTCAGTCTAAAAATAAATAAATTCTCGGTATAACATACAAATGAATTACGATATGTTAGGGGTTTATAATATTTTTATTAAATATCAAAGTCAAATAAAAAAGTCAAATTATCACGGAATTTTACGTATATCTTTAATCTTTTATACATTATCTTTTATACTTTATTTATAAGTTTAAGATTCACACAGAATGAAACAATTTTGTAACTTTAATTAAAAAATATAATTTGATATATATATTAATATATATTAAGTGTTTAATGTACGAAGATTTAGTGACAATTTGTGTAAATTTGTGAATAAATGGAGAAAATTATACAGCATCTTGTGCTCACAGATCATTTTTAATTATTTATACATTAATTATTTATACTTACGCGTATTCCAGAAAGTAATAAAGTTTTATATTCTCTGTGACTGTCTTGTTCTTCATTCCACTTTACGCTAATTTTTTGAAGGGTATCTTCCACGGTCTGGGTACGAAGTAGCTCAAGTTGACGTATAATAGTCTCTATATTCCATTTTAGTTCCCTCGCTCGAAGTCTCAGAATTTCCAAATCAGCCGACTCTGCGGGAAGAGCCTCGATCTAAAGTTGTGAGGATAAGGGATAAAAAATAATAAGTGCATCGCATTTCGATCGCGACTACATATTCATGCCATATTGACCATTTCTCTTGTTTAATAATGATCTATTTTATTAAATTTTATTATATGTTTCGAATTAACTCGATGCACAAATAAAATTCAAAACTATTATGCACCTATTCCGTTTAAACATTTCTCTATTTCTATTGAAAATTATTTCTCAACAAGAAACTTACGGTATAAAGTACAGCCAAAAAGGACAATGCGATAGTGATCCTCATGATTTACTTAACGATATCACCAAGATGTCGTTTACAGCAAAAATCGGCTGACTGACAAGCAGTATTAATTGCGCCGTTTTATATATGCACAACATCTCGAAATATAAATGATTATTTCGATAACGATCGTAGAGATAACGCGAATACAAAATCTGTCTAAATAATTACGTAACAACAGCATTCTCCCTCTTATCAGCCCTTATTCTTCTATTGTGATTTTATATCGAAGAAAGCTATTTTATTCTGTCTAACTTACATTCATTCAAAGTAAGCTGCAAAAATTTCGCAAAATAATTTATAATTTTTACATTAAAGTTATTTTTGCTGTACGGCCTCCTCGAAACTTCAAACAGATATCACAAAAAGTGTGAACAAGTGTTTCTGTGACCGTTCTTTGTAAATGTTCAAACTTCATTTATCTTTTTCGTAGAAAATTTCTTATGTAATATTAATCCACTTGTAACAAGAAATTTTTTTTCTTTGTTAAAAGAAGATGCATGCTTTCATTAATGAAAATTATTATATATCGTATCACATCTTATATCTATATTGCAAAAAATTGACAAATTATTAAAAATTATTAGAAGTGAAATAGAAGTGAAAATCATGTTTTGACAAACTGTCTGCAAAAATTTTCAAAAATTCTCTTTTATTATATTTTATTATATTCAAAAATTTTCTTTTAAATAAATGTGAATTAAAAAAAAAGCTTTATCTACTCTTTATCTATTCTTTATCTATTCTTAGTGCGATCATTTTTATGATATAAGATTACATAAAAGCAGATTACTTCATTAAATCCTGAACCAAAATGGTTATTAAAAAAACATTCCACGTTGCATTGAGTTGCATTAGATGTAATTGATAGACTACATACATTTCTAAATATAATTCACAACAGATTTATTTGATTATATCATATATCGTAACACATACACATATGTATATATATATATGTATACATATATGTATGTATGTATCGAGAAATATCATGAAGCATGTAAAAAAATGTAATCGCCGCCATCGCAAAGGTGCATGTCGTAAATGGCTTAAATAAAATCAGAATGAAGGATCGTTGATGCGCGATGTAAAAAGTATAGATATAAATAAATTATAAAGTCACAGTATATAAACATTAGAACAAAATATGTACATCACGCGTTCGCACTAATAAACTTAATCGCCTATTTACTAGGATCACAGTTACACACACACATTCATAATATGTGTATAGATTATACACACTGTTTTCGGCTTTTTACTCATTGAGGATATATCGAATCGTTATTATCCTTGCATTTGTACATCGTTCTAAAATAAATGAATCTAAATAAATATAATGTCATCTAAAAAAAAGCCTATGACTAGGTGATATCTCTATCTTCGATGGCGCCGCTAGCGATAATACTACTGTCGCATTTCCATAGAAACGAAATGTTTTCGATTAAACTTTTGTTAAAAGTAACTTTACAAGCGCGCGATAATGCGTATTATATCATATGGCTTAAAAACAATTTTAATACACTGTACATCACTTATATCGTCTCGGGATATTTAGGTAATTTGAACTTTTCAGCTCGTCCTCGCAATTCGCTCATCTTCGTTCCATTTTTGAGAAATTACAATTATGACCGCTGAGTAAGATCATGGTTACAATTGCGATCATGAAGGGTTGTCGAGAAGAGGGGCTAAGTTTGAACGTTGCGTACACATGCTCGTGGTACCAAACCTCTTCGATCACCTTTCGCGCACAATAACCACTTATTATCCACCTCTAATATTACTTTCAGTTTCTCCCCCTCTGCGAATGAAAGATGACCAGTGTCCGACGGTATCCTATGAGTGAGAGTACGGACCTCTCTGCAATCGAGACGCGCGAACCGTTATCGTACGAATCTAAAGAAAGAGAGAAAAAAAAAGAAAAGGGCTAAAATACAAAGCAAAACAAAGATAGAAAAGCGTAATGTAAATAAATGTATAAACAAGTTATATTTCATTTGTAATGTAGCTCGTATAAACGAATAATATTTGCAATCAATATTAAATTAAAAGGAAAAGATAATAGATTCTAAAAAATAGTACATGCTCATATGAAACATTGATATTTACTTGTGTGGATGTTTTGAAACCGGTGTCCTTGAAACAGTAGTAACAGTCGGTCGCGGTAGAGAGGTCGAAACGGCTCGTCTGTGAGGCGAGATTAGATTCTTGTCATTCGACATTACTCCATGGGATTTATATGGTAAGGAACTCGGGCGTGCGGTGTGAGTTCGTGTCACGCCTAGAGTATCTTGATCAACGCGGCTCGTACGACGCGTCACATCTCTCGTTTTCATATCTATAGGTTTCTTTAGGGCTGTCTTTGTCGTAGGAAGATTAGCGGGCTTCTTTAATGAAGAAACTCCCGACATGGGTAATTTTGATGATTTCCCAACGATATTCGCCGCAACATTAGATTGCTTCACCGGTGATGTGAGTAATCTAGGTATCTTTGATTTTCCTAACACTCCGAATGTCCGAACTGGCGAGGAAGGAGTCATTACGATAGGTTGACCCTTGTTACCTTCTTTGCCAATCAATTCCCATTTTTCCTGCAATTTTTTAAATTTGGTTTCGACAGAAAGACCGTTGTCATCACTTGATTTTTTAGTATCAGGATTAAAAAGTTTAGATTGTGATTGCTTGCTTGCTTTTTTATTTAAAGGAGAATGTTCCAGACTATCTGTGTAATCTTCAGAATCCTCAGAAGTCAATTTGTCCAACGCGTAAAACGCCTTCGGATTTATGGCACTGAAACGTTTTTTCGCATTCTGAAGATCGCCTTTATGCGTAGTGCTGCATTTATCATCCATGTTATAGGCAATACAAGATCTTGGTCGTGTCTTTTTCGGACTAGAAACTATTCTACAGGATTCCGTTTCTTCAATCTCGAGATCTTTCATAGTTAGATCGGCGTTTCTAAAGCTCATGGCCTACAAAATCGCGTGAAATGAACGCACGTAATATAAAAGAAATCGAATGACAGGTTTACTTACATTCACCGTATGATTATTCACATTCCCAAAACTATTTTGCAATTGACGATACTGATAGAGAAGATCCAAGTGAAATGGACAAAATGCAAGTGGATTCAGGATGTATAGCAATGAATCAACGATTTCTCGGACATTCGCATTGGCCAAAGCCGCGACAAATAAGCTATTGTTACTGTAATGTTTCCGTAAGATTGATTCACGTGTACATAAATACGCAAACCATGCATCTAAAGCTCTTAGACTAGAAGAAAAGAAAATAAAATAGGTTAATTATATAATTAATTTGTTAAAAGGAAAAAAATTATGTATACATATAAATAAATATGAAATAGGAATAATGAAATCGTAATGTAATACAATATATAGACTATAGAACGAGAAAAAGACTAGCGATTCTAACTTACTTCAACAAGCCAAATACAAATGCATGGAACTTTAACATTCCTTCTGTAATAACATCTTCGCCATTAATTCTCTGCACTAATTCATTCAATGTCTTTGTGAGAGGTCCTTGTTGAGAACTAGCTTCGACAACCTGCCAAACGCTATTAGTAATTGGTCCAAAAGTGGAATTCAAATGAGGTTTCAAGCCATCCGACATAATAGCATATAAAGCTGGGCATAAATTACTTAGACAAATTTGCGCACACTCGTTCCTTTCGTTATAATTAGGACGACTATGATTGGAGTCAGCGTTCCAATACTTCAATAAAAGATCCACCGCTCTATTTACAGACGATACCATTTCTGAAAGGAGTAACACATTAAAGATTTCAAGATATACTTTTATTTAATAGAATTAGATAATAAATAAAACGTGCATACTTTTTTTTTCTTCAAATTCTATTAATTTATCCTCAGTTGCCTGATCATGATTTTGTTCATTTACGATGACATTCAGATTATTTAGCTGAAATGAATAAATACTCTTATATGTATATCAGAATAAGTATATACAAAGATACAAAAATTTGTTGATGCTAAAATTAGTATTAATGATTTACCTTAGCGTCCAGATGCTTTTTTCTTTGGTGCGTAGCAAAACTGACGGTTTTTCTTTGCGATTCTCCCATATCAATATTTCTAACAAGAGGATCCTTGTTCATTCTCAAAGCTAAAAATTTTCTTACGTACGATCTCACTTTTACTTCAGCATTGTCAATATCTCCGTCGCTGCTTTGCGACGAGATTGCACTACGTTTCAAATATTCTTCCAACTGCTTGATATCATCGTCGCTATTCTGAGAAGTTTCCGACTCCACGTTCGCATTATTTGTAATGTCGTTTAATTTCTCTGTGATAATTATATTGTTAAGTGTGTCGAATGAATATAGATCGACAATTAAAAATAATGAACACAAATGCCAAATGATTCATCCTTACCTTTAAGATATCTCTCCGCTTCCGTCTCGTCAACATCCTTTTCTGAATCAATCGTTCTTTCGCGACATAACAATTGTAAATCATTATTCATGTAGTATGGCTCTTGTAAAGACATTCTCTTGTTTATGTCCACAGATTCTTCCGATTGTTCGCCCACATCTCCCATCTCAAACATGCTGTATCGTTTATTCGTAAGTACCTTGTTCTTTCGTAAAATACTCCTCGGCAATGGCGGTCGCGGCGGTACTCTGCTATTATCAGATTCACCCTCGCCTTGCGGTAACGATACGGATCGCTTTGGAAGAGACGGACAAATCTGTCTCGTTTGATTGAATCTATGCATTTTCTTATCGTTATTCAAACTAGCCTCCGAACTCATACTGTCATATCGATATAAATACAACGGATTGATCGTATTGTTCGATAATGGTTGCTGATTTGTCGAGGAATCGGTTAAAATCGTCGACGAGCCTCTGTATCCGGAAGATGGTTGCGTTGCGGTACTGCTCGTTGATGAAGTAGTATTCGGTATAATTTCGCTGATCGGTCGTGTCTTATGACGCATTGGAGGAGACAAACAGAATAGAGGTCGTTTAACTTCCTCATTGATATTAATGTATCTCGATACTTCTGGTACATCATGTAAAATCTTCTTGTATTCATATGGTAAAAGAAACGTAAGCGACTCCCAATCCTTTATATGCGCGAATCCGCGTTGTCGTAGAGCATCGATATCATTACACGAAAATGGTCTACCTGAACGAGCACGTTTCCATTCCATCTTGCTTCTGTCAAATGTATGCGGTTTCAACGCAATGTTATCAATTTTCGTATCTTTAATTTTGAGAAACGACAGATCAGGTAACGTATAATTCGGATATACAACATATACAGGCTTTTTATTAACTGTTGTTTCTTGTAAGAGAGGGAAACCATGTTTCTCTCTCAGCGCAGCAAAAATTAAGGAAGTTTGA